CTAAGTGAGACCTGTGGGTTTTGTGGCACCTTTAAGACTAACAGAAGTATTGGGAGCATAAGCTTTCGTGGGTAAGAACCTCACTTCTTGCATCTGAAGAAGTGAGGTTCTTACCCACGAAAGCTTATGCTCCCAATACTTCCGTTAGTCTTAAAGGTGCCACAGGACCCTCTGTTGCTTTTGTCTTATCAAACTGTTCATGGTCTGGAATCTTTCCAAAGGGAGATAGGCTCTTGCTGAGATCAAATCTAGTGTTGCTCCTATAAAGTCTATTGTCCTTGTGGGAATCAAAGTAGACTTTTTTAGTTAACACAGATTCTCAAGTCTGCTAGAAGCTGGAGCAAGAACAGAGTTACTGACTGGACTGCCTGACTGAAGTGACCCATTAAGAGCCAGTCATTCAGATATGGAAGACTGTATAAACTGTGATGTCTCATCTGGGCTACACCACTCAGAAAGCCTTTGTGAAAGTGGTGTTGCTAGCCCAAATGGGAGTACTCTGAACTGGTGGGGAGACACTAAGATTAAAAACTCAAACAACACTAGAATATTAAAGAAAAACTATGTACAATATATTTACAGGTTTGAAGACGAAAGAAGCACTGAGAAATCTGTGGACATAGCAGATTCTGACTCAAGTCATGCGGCAGTAAGAAGGACCTAGAGAGGCATCAGTCTACCCCAGCCCTTATGCATTTGGTTCAGAGCATGGGGAGAACAATTGCACAGGTGTGGGCCAATGGACACTACTTGCTAGAAACCTCCAATTTCAGGCACACAGGGTGCATGTATACCCATGTGTGGAATACACATAGGACACAGCAGTCAAAGAAGAACCTCAAAATAACCATTTTATGTTTACATATCACACACATTTTTAACTGCTCTTTTTCTTAGAGGTTCTTCAACATGAAGAGTAGAGTAGTGCTCAGTTTTTTTACCTCCTCACCTCATTCCCAAAGAAATGTTAGCCATATTAATGGTGACAATATCTCTGAAGGGGACAGAGACACACACACTGCAAATTAAGCACTAGCAGAGCATCCCTTTTACCTATCCAGAAAAATATTTTATTTTCCTGCTTCTAAAACAAAACAAAACAAAAAAAAAGCCACAGCACATCTGACTGTTTTTGTCTTCTATTAGTTTCAAAGATTGAAGTGATCAATCCAAATCCATTTTTTTAAAAATTAATGGGGGAGAAAATTGAGGAATTTTTATATTATTCTTTTAACTGGCCACTAGATATTTTGCACTTTCACCTGAGATCTATTTTTTAAAATTTAAAAAATTCTACTGTAATTTCTTGGGGTTATTGTACTTCAGTACCATTTTGCTGCACTGTTGGGAATCCTATTACATATCCCAGAACAAAAGTTTCCATTAATAGTCAATTTAAATCTTACCAGAAATATGCCTTCTCATAACAAGAAATCCTCAAGTCTGAAATTCATGACTGAAGGGTTAACCACACCCATATGTCCACCGTGGCTATAAATACTGTCAGAGTTTTGGTGCTTGAACTACCCTCCATAGGCACTCAGCAAAAGCATAATAGTCCAGTCAAGAAACTTTCAAAGAACCTTTAAATTGTCTATTCTCATATACATAAAATACTTTAAGTCAGAAAGCCATGCCAGATGCAGTAGCAAGCAGTCTATCAAGAAAAGAAGGGAGGGAAAGCAGAGGCGACAAGTGGGGAGGGGGCATGCTGGGTCACATATCCCCACCCCCCTAGATGGCTGGGTCACATAATGCAGCAGGGCCCCCTTACTGTGGAGAAGCTGAGCTGAGCTGGCGAGCTTCACCAGGCAGGTTGAGGCAGAGGCAGGAGTGGAGGAACAACTGGGAGCTGCCTGGAGAGGCTGCTGCTTTTCTGGCAGCGGGAGGGCAGCCAGGAGGGTGGGAAGGGGGTGACTCAAACTGTTTCGGGATGGTGTCCCCACTCTGTCAGCAGGCACGGGTTGTCTATGAAGGGAAGAGGGGATCTCTTCTCAAAAGATGCTCTAATTCTTGCTATCCCAAGAAACAGATGTTTGGAATGAGAGAAAGTGAAGACTTAAATGGGAGAAAACTAGCAAATTGATCAGCATCCCTGCTATTGAAGGGATAGAACCACTTGGTTCTAAGATATTACAGGCCTGCCCTGAGGAAAAACAAATCTTCAACCCACTACAGTTAGAGAGCAGTGACTGAAGTAGAGGATTCTACACTTCGTTGCTTATGCAAGCTAAACTGGCAGGTGTGGGGGTTGAAGGTGGGGGAGGAGGGTTGGGAACACAGTCTCTATCCCTGAACTTGTAGTAATTTTACAGGATACTATCACTAAACCTATATGTTATTATTAAATTGTTTAAGCTGATCCTCCTCTTCTCTTTGTTGCTTTATCAGATTCGTATAAACAATTTTCTCATGACAATGCCTATTTGCAGCTGTAAGCAGGGGAACCTGAGCAGTGACATC